CAGCAGGTAGGTTAATTAAAGCATACTCTGAGAAGCAGTTTCTGGATGGGGTTTTTTTGTGTTTCTCTGCTGTGATGTTTTATTGATTTTCTTTCTTTCAGGTTTGCAGGGAAGATAGTCCACTAAAATTGTTTAGCTTAGTAATTTTGTTACTCCCATTGTCTTCAGTGTTTGAAATATTCACTATACACATCAGTTACTATATAGCTGAAGTATTTTAGAAGCACCCTTAAAGATTTCATAGATTATTTTCAGGATAGGCAAATATTATCTCTCATTCTACAGACGGAAGAATGGAAGAAGAGAGACACTGCTTGAGACTACCAGAATTAGTCAGAACAATGTTTATAGTTGAGGATTTTTACATTTCTAGGCTGCCGTTCATTCCAGTAGTTGTGTTTTAGCATTGTGTTTTCTCTGTGGGAAGTACTGATGACTATGGTAGGAGTTAGTGAAGACAACACTAGTCTATTACCTGGATTTATGCTAGCATTTTAGAATTCTTTAATATTGGTCTTGTGCTTTCACAAGATGAAAGTGGTTGTGTGATGCACGTGTGTACTTGTGCTCAAAATGTGAGGCCATTTCCATTGTTATACATTTTAAATGTTCATTTCTGATTGCATTACAGACACACAAGTAGCATTAACTGCAGGGGGGAGCTGTCATATTATGGCCAGTACATTTGGTCAGGTCACCTTGAACTAAACCTTAAACTAAAACCTTCAACACCATTGAACTAAAGTCAGCACATCAAACCAGTACAGTGCTGCATAACTGCATGTGGTTTTGTGGAAGCTGTCTTTCTGGTGGGAGTATTTATAATTCTTTCAAGAAGTACTTTGTACTAATGGTGCATGGTCAAACAGGTGAGACCTTAGTGCTCACAACAGTATTTTTTTTTTCTCAAGTGAGGATAAATGTTGGACATTTTTTAGTTTATTAATATTTATTAATCTTTTCAGTGACTTAAGTCATCCTCTGGAGATTAACTTTGTTTAGAATTGTGTTTTCTTAAGATTTTTTTAATGTAATTAATTTTTTTTATTTAATAGATATATAAATGATGGATGTATTGTAAATTCTTCTTGTGAGTTTTATCTTGGTCTTCACAAAGTGGCAGCAATGGGCTGCATACTGTTGCTTCCATTCTACTTGTCTGCCCTCCATTGTCACCTTTCCCAGCTCTGTCTTTTTACATCACTTC